AGCATGCCATAGGATGCTACAAGCATCCCCTATGATGCTAGAAGCATTCCATAGGATGCTACAAGCATTCCATATGATGCTACAATTATCACCTAGAATGCTACAAGCATCCCCTAGCATGCTACAAGCATTTCTGGAATACTACAGCTTTGGATTGAGATGCTGCAAAAGTTATCTGGGATGCTACAAGAAGTATGTGAGAAGCTTCAGCTAATGTGCAGCGCTCAGTAGGAATAATGGTGTACACAGAGATGTACATGGGTCGCGGCTCTTCGGGGGGCACTTCGCGCCCCCAGGCCGGGACATTGAAATAAAAGGTGTGTTAGGTGAGGAACGCGCTTTCCCACTGAATATTCGCAGAACACTTGAGAAGTTAAAATTTGAATACTTGAATACTTGAATAGTTGAATGCTTGAATAGTTGAATATTTGAATATTTGAATACCTGAATAGTTGAATACTTGAGTAGTTGAAAACGTGAATAGTTGAATAGTTGAATATTTGAATAGTTGAATACTTGAATACTTGAATAGTTGAATGCTTGAATAGTTGAATATTTGAATAGTTGAGTGCTTGAATACTTGAGTAGTTGAAAACTTGAATACTTGAATAGTTGACAGCAGTGTTCAGACTTCTGAAAAAAGAAATTTTGGAAGTTTCAGAAATTTCAAGCACTTGTGTTCTAAATTGTTTGGTATTTCTCAAAATTATATAATTTCCGAAATTTCTGAAATTTCCAAAATTCTATACGTAGCGAAATTTCCGAAATTACAGAAATTTCTAAAACTTCTAAAATTTCTAATATTTCCAAAAGATTTTCATGTGCTCTGCTATGTAGTTATCGAGTTGATGGAAGCTTCGGAAATTTCTGTAATTTCCTTTTTCGGAAATCTGAACATACCTCATAGTTGAATAGTGGAATAGTTGAATACTTGAATAGTTGAATACTTGAGTAGTTGAAAACTTGAATAGTTGAATAGTGGAATAGTTGAATACTTGAATAGTTGAATACTTGAATAGTTGAATACATGAATACTTGAATAGTTGAATATCTGAATAGGTGAATACTTGAATACTTGAATAGTTGAATGCTTGAATACTTGAATACTTGAGTAGTTGAAAACTTGAATAGTTGAATGGTGGAATAGTTGAATACTTGAATAGTTGAATAGTTGAATAGTTGAGTAGTTGAAAACTTGAATAGTTGAATAGTTGAATAGCGGAATAGTTGAAAACTTGAATAGTTGAATAGTTGAATAGTGGAATAGCTGAATAGTTGAATAGTTGAATACCTGAATAGTTGAATACTTGAATAGTTGAATTCAAGTTTCAAGTGTTACATATATGAGTTTGGCAAGAAAGAACAGGGTCTTATGAAAAATCGAATTTTAATATTGAATCAACGTTATGAAGCATATAGAGAAGCAAGTATTATTCCATTCTCAATAAAATCAATTGAAGCATGTTTAAATAATTAAATTCGAATTTTAATTCATATTAAATTAATTAATGGCTCAGAAAGATCTATTTAAGCCAATCATGATTATTTTACTATTCCAAATGTTAATCTCGTTTTCATACTGTTGTTTTAATTGGTTATGATCAACATACAAAACATTTTTTATTTAGAAATTCTTGAGGAGAATATTGGGTAAGATAAGTGGTTCTTTTTAATTAAAATAAATAGATGGGTGTGGGTGTGAAGTTTTAGTGGTATTCATTTTCTGACACACTCACAGCCACTTCCATCCTATATAGATACATATTTGTTGCTACATAAGCACATAGAATGGCGCACATTTTTCAACGAAAGCACATAGATAACTATGATCTAGTCCTTTGTAGAATGAAGAGACTATGTAAAGATATTGCATCATATGGAAGACCAAGAATAGAAGACGATGAAGATGGTAAACTGATAACAGAAAAATGAAGGGTGACCTCGATAACAGTAAATAACTGTCAGTGTCTTCGTGCACGTTTAGATGAAGGACACATTTACAGCATCACTTACACGCAGTATGGCAGCCATTTCCGATTACAGAGTGAGAAATGTCTTGTGGCGTAAGAAGATCTGCATCAGAATCAGGGACTAGCTATTAAATGTATATAAGCAACCATCAGCGACATGTTTTTTTCCCTTTAACATAAAGGTTTCGCCAACTTATGACATAATCATGCAAACGATTGCGAATACTGAATACTGTATCAAAAAATAATATTGCATTACCCAGTAAGCTATTCATTGGAAACAGAACGCCTTTCCAAAAGATTCCCAAAAACTCATCATACTTCACAGATGCCAACATAAAAATCAATCATGTGTAAGCTAGGAATTCTGCCGTTCATCAAAGCCAGCAAAATAAGCGAAGATTACACCCATGTAGATGGGCATGTTCTGACCACCAAAAGACACAGATCAGGGTGTAGTTTTGGGTGTGGAGTGTGGGTGTGCCTTCTTTCTTACCCCACACCAACACCCACACCCGCCCCCAACCCTCACGGTGTGATGCAGAAATAAAAGGTCAGTTCCGCGAGGAAAATTCTTTTAATCCTTGAGTAATTGAATTTAAACTCTCAGTTCAACGTATGTAAGAGAACCAAGCGTATTAAATGTACGTGTAGAAAAGGACGCGCAGATTTGAATGTACAGATTTGACCGCATAAATTTGAGCGTACAGACTTGGGCGCACAGATTTGGATGGGTAGATGTGGATGTACAGATATGGACGCACAGATTTCAACGCATAGATTTGGGCGGATAGATTTGGACGTACAGATTTGCACACACACAATTGGGCGTACAGATTTGCACACACACAATTGGGCGTACAGAATTGGG